AACCCCTCTCATCCCGCATGAAACTCAATTCAAAGTGGATCAAAGATTTAGGCACTAGAATAGAGACTCTGCACTTAACAGAAGAAAAAGTAGGCCCAAATCTTCACCACATTGGCTTAGAAACTGACTTCCTTAACAAGACTCCTAAAGCACAAGAAGTAAAATCAAGAGACAATAAATAAATGATAAATAAAATCAATAAATGAGATGTAGTCAAACTAAAATGCTTCTTCTCAGCAAAGGAAACAGATACTGTTTAGGTACTGGCACACTGTTAAATGCAACACAATATAAAATAAAAGTCTAAACTTTTTTAGGGATAAAAAGGTGAGTGTTTGATCCTGATCTTAATGTAAAATTATACTTATGTATATTTTCTCTATGGTATCTAAACAACCTTGAATGCTTTTTTGTGAATGCTTTGAATGTGAAGAGAGAGCCTACAGAATGGAAAAAAACTTTAGCACATGCACCTCAAATAGAGCATTAATTTCCAGGACATATATAGAACCCAAAAACCTTAACACCAAAAAAACAAATAGCCCAATCACTAAATGGTCCAAGGAAATGAATATACACTTCACAGAACAAGAAACACAATCAATCAACAAATATATGAAAAATATTGAACATCTCTAGTAATTAGATAAAGGCAAATCAAAACTACACTAAGATTTCATCTCATACCAATCAGAATGCAATTGTCAAGAATACAAGCATCATTATATTTTGGCAAGGATATGGGGGGAAAGGTACACTCATACATTGCAAATTGGTGCAACCACTCTGGAAAGCAGTATGGAGATTCCTCAGAAAACTTGGAATGGAACAACCATTTGACCCAGCTATCCCACTCCTCGGTCTATACCCAAAGGACTTAAAACCAGCATATTACAGTGATGCAGTCACATCAATGTTTATAGCAGCTCAACTCACAATAGTTAAACTATGGAACTAACCTAGATACCCTTCAACAGATGAATGAATAAAGGAAATGTGGTATACATACACAATGGAATATTACTCAGCCATAAAGAAGAATGAAATTATGGTTTTGGGGGGACTAGGATTGTGACTCAGCAGTAGAGTGCTTGCCTAGCACGTATGGGGCCCTGGGTTCGATCCTCAGCACCACATATAAATAAATAAAGGTATGATGTCCAACTACAACTAAAAAATAAATATTAAAAAAAGAAATTATGGTTTTTGCAGGTAAATGGATGGAACTGTAGAATATCATGCTAAGTGAAATAAGCCATTCCCAAAAAACAAAAGGCCAAATGTTTATTTAATATGAGGATGCAAATTCACAATAAGTGGGGGTGGTCAGGGAAGAATAGAGGTAATTTGGATTAGGCAGAGGGGAGGGGAGGAGGAGCATGGGCATAGGGAAGATAGTAGAATGAATTGGACATTATTACCCCATGTGCATATATGACTGCACAACCAGTGTGATTCTACATCATGTACAACCAGAAGAATGAGAAGTTATACTCCATTTATATGTGATGTATAAAACACATTCTACCATCATGTATAATTAATTAAAATGAATTTAAAATAGATAAAAATTTTAAAAAAGAGGAAATATATAAATGCATGACATAATCGATGGAAAGCTCATCATCTTAAGATTGTGTGTGTGTGTGTGTGTGTGTGTGTATTTGGTGTTGGGGATTGAACCCAGGGCCTCATGTATGCCAGGCAAGCACTTTACCACTGAACTACATCCTCAGACTCTTAAGATTTCTTAAAGAGCTAGAATTGAGAATAAAAAGAAAACACACAGGGAAAGGGAGGAAGCAGAGGTAGAAATTTCATTTATATATATTTTGTTCCACTAATTAAAACCCCACAATTAAGCTATAGCCTCCATTTTTATACTCTTTATAGCTGTGTAGGGAAGCATGGAAAGTCAGATACACTTAAAATTTATGCTGGGTTTTTTTTTTTTCAAAAATTCAAGGTAATGGGGCTGGGATTGTGGCTCAGTGGTAGAGCGCCTGCCTCACATGCTTGAGGCCCTGGGTTCAATCCTCAGCACCACATAACAAATAAATAATTTTTTTTTTTCAGAGTAGAAATTAGAAGTTTATTAAAGGACAGCAGAAAAGACTTCTCCCGGAGGAAGAAGGGGACCCAAGAGGTGGAATCCACAAATAAATAAATTTAAAAAATAAAGATATTTAAAAATTCAAAGTAAAATAGTAGTTATTTTAAGAAACATTATACACATGAACCAGACATAGTTAACAAAATAACTAAGAATAAAATTAGATTATTCAAGTCTTCTTTTTCCAATTCCTATCTGCAAGTGGAATTGTCTCTATTTGGAGCATGTTCTATGTATTAACTGCTAGATTCTTGTCTCACCTATCCCACTTCCCTAGATCTCTTTCAGGGACTTCAGAAGAAATTCTGTGGTCAAGAAGGTATGAGCTTGTAAAAGAGAAAAATGAGGGTTTTGTTTCTATTTAGCATAAAGAAGATATCAATGGGACAAGAAAGACAAAAGGAAAATGGTTCATCAGTACAAATGTAGGTACTGGCACACTGTTAAACACAATACAATATAAAATAAAAGTCTAAACTTTTTTAGGGATAAAAGATGAGTGTTTGATCCTGGTTTTTAGTGTAAAAATATACTTATGTATCTTTTCTCTATGGTATCTAAACAACCTTGAATGTTGCCAAGAAATAAATGTTTGATTTCAATTTGGACCACCAGCAAAGTCAAAATTATTTTCAATTACAGAATGAGTTTATGTTTTTTTTTAAATTCAAAAGGTTTATTGCACCAAATGCCACAGAAAAATTGATCAAAATAATACATGAACAAGTTTTAAGAAAAAATTTCCACACGTTGACATTGGTATCTATTCAGCTCATCAAAATTATAAAGTCCTATCAATTTCTCTTAATGGACTTTCAATAACAATTCCCAGAATTTTCTCCTTATCTGCCTCAAATTTAAGCATATTGCGATCTCACTTCCTAGATATATGGTTCACCAAATTCTGACATTTAAAAGTTAACATTCAGAGGGAAGTTTGATTTAGGCAGAAATTATATTAAAATATCCCCCCCCCAAGAAGAATTAAACAAAACAAATCGTTCACATTAACTAAGAAAAGCTAAAGACTTTTTTTTCTTCAGTTTAATGGTGAAAGTATGCAAGAATGAAATGCTCCCCAAAGTACATATTAGTGGAAAAATCCAGACATTTAAAAGAATTTTGGGGTCACTTTATATTCTTTATATACAACCAACTCTAGTAAAGAACCTAAAAAGCTACAGACTAAATTTTTATAAAATCTGAGGACCTAATTATAAGAGCCCAAACAACAGTTTAGTATCATTTAGCAAGGGGGAAATTTCCTCCCTCCAAAAAAGTTAATTTTGAAAAATATGGTCAGTTTAAAAAGTTGCAATGTGTAAATGGCAGTTCCATGGGATGTGAAAACATTATAGTTACTTTCATTAAAAAACAGCACACTTCAGAAAATGGATTTGAAGCCTGTACAAAAAGCTATTTAACACTGATAAAAATAAATACTTTGGAATTATGCACAAGTATGGAAGCTACATTTCAAATTTTCATTGTCATGTTTAAAACATACACAATTACCTTTACATTCATATCACTTATCAATTTATTAAAAATAAAACTGCAACATGATAGAAAGAGGTCCATCACAGTAACATTCACATACTTCTGCTCTGTCATGCCTCACTTGCTTGCTTGAGAAAGCAAGATGCCACAAAAGTTACACTCAACAGGTAAGACTTAAAAGTTGAAGAAACCCTAAAGTTGGAATCCTGTCAACTGAGGTAGATTTCTTTATTTTTTTTTTTAATTTTTATTTTCTTCTTGAGGTGGGCATGGGAGCAGGTGGGATCCCTCCAACCGTTCAGCTGAGACAAGAATGAAGTCACGGGGTGGTCTGTGATGTTCGAGCGGTTGTCTCTCAACACAATCCCATGAGATTTTTTTCCTTTTTTGCTTCTAGGAAGAGGTTGAATTTAAGACAAAGACTTGCATGTTAAATATTAAAGGAGGCTTTAAAAAAAGAGCAGCTGTATGGGGTGAAGGTGGGAGTTCATAACCCACTAGAATCAAAGTGTGGAATATGATATGTCAAGAAATTTGTAATGTTTTGAACAACCCAAAATAAAAAATTAAAAAAAAAAAAAAAAAAAAAAAGAGCAGCAACATTCTTGGTGTGTTTTTGTAGGCGATAGATATGAGGATTCGGCTCTGACAGGAATCCTGAGTGTCACTGAGACGACCTGTGACCCACTTGTAGCTTCCCAATAGGTGTTTTTCTAAGAGTGAGTTTTGGAATATTAGATCAAGAGACAAATTAAATTTTTGCAGGCATTGGGGAGCTGGGCTAGATTTTTTATGTATGGGATTGAGAATCAGTCACTTAAAGCTCAATTTTCCCCGTAAGGGTCTGATTTTCAGCACGCCACAATGCCCACATTAGAACTGAACTGATTTTGAATCAGGTTATTTTCTAGAAACCCTGGAAGGTGGTGACTGAGGCAAGGTGCCCACAACATGTAAACAAGGAGAAGGGAACCAGAGGGGAATGCTTTAAGCTGGTGCAGACGGAAAAGCTGTAATGACAGCTTTGACAATTTATTCACATGCAAGGAAAAGCAAGTGCTGAGTGGGCCGAGCTACAGGTGGGGTTCATTTTCCTTCCATAACAAACAGCAAACAATGATGTCATGGAACCAGAGAACTGAAAACACCAAACTCCAATGTTAGGCAAAATGAAATGGAAAACTTCAATTTTGCGAAACCAAGACATAAAATGCAAATTAAAGATCTCCAGAACCTTGAAGCACCCATCTACTTTCGCAGCACAAAGGAGAAAGAGGAAGGTAGCAGTTCTGACCTATTCCTGATAAATAAACAGTACAGCCATTCACCTCCATTGGAACAGCTGTAGACGCTCTCAAATAATTACAGACCATAATGAGAGACGAACTTATGGACAGGGTCAGGATTTTATCAAACATAAAATGTGAACTAATTCCAACCCATAAAAAAGAGGTCACCTCATATTCTTAGGAACAGAAGATTCACAGAAAGGGCTGAAATGCTAACAATGTTTTGCCTTATTACATTAGCTCCTGTCTTTTGACCGTCATTTTTTAAATTTTTGAAGTGTTTTACTTTATCCTGGATGTCAGGACTTAGAATGTTTCATGGTCAGTAAACTAAGTTTCTTTAATATTAACAGACAATTGAAGTTTTTTTTTAAGTGAATTGGACTACTAATTCTTTACTTTGGTAGGTTTTATAAAATGGTCAAGTCAATTTCTGGGAAGATGTTTTGAAAAGACATAGGGATTAAGAGGTACAGAGATGATAATGTAAAAATTTAGGCCATGTATGAACCTTTTTCTTAATGTTCAAACTAATTGCTTTCACTGACCATCCTGAATTATTGCAGGTTTCATTTCTCGTGGGGACAGCAGTGTCTTTAAAAGTATAAATAGTCATTTGTATAAACTATTCTAGGAAGAAAGTGGCTCTGGCTGGAAGAATTCACCCACAGAAACACTCTTGAGCTTATAGAAATAACTTTGGTAAATGGCCTCTCTTGAAAATGCTGCTGAGAACTCTAAATCATAATGATAAAACATATGGCGTCAAACTATGCTTTGCTGCTACAAACTACATCTTGATGGGATTAGGATGCTACATTGACTCTTGGGTGTATTGCACCAGCAATCCATCTCTAACCTACCTGTGGCTGCATCTGAAACAAGGTAAACTCTGAGGAGAAATGAGAACAGAAGGTCCCCAAAAGCACTCTCTCTCTTCCCAATAGGCAGTTTTCTTTCACATCTTATGGCAAACAGCTGCTACAGCCAAAAATGGCTTTCTTCATTTCACTTTTCTTTTCTAAAAAGCAAACTCTGACCTGGAATCCAAAGTCCTTGTTCTGACTTTAGCCTAGTGTACTCTGCTCTCTACAGCTTGCAGTGCTTAGACTTAAACTCTGAAACATTTCCTACTGGAATGTTACATACACTGTTTACCTCCCTGCTCCAAAGTCACCCATCATTATTCTGCCCGACAACACAAGGCAATCAGTACCAAACGCTGAGTGTTCAGTGTAGTGCTTACGTTTTCCCCCACCAGAAAGGCCACTCTCTCCCCTGATTGATTCATGGGTAACAAAGGCCTAAAGTGTTCCTGAAAATCACAAATGCCAGTATTTAGAGTAAACCTGTCTTCTCTTCCAATGAAGCACCCACTCAAAAGTAACAATGCAAAACAAATGGTGGAATGACTATTTGTTTGCTCTTCTCATGCTTTGGATGTCCCAGAGAGTTTATTCCTCTCTTCTTCAGTTGAGACTTTGTTTTTCTTATTCCAAGGAAGAACTGTCCTGAGCTTCAGCTTATAGGAGTATTTGAGCCACGTAAGGAGAATGATTACTGGCAACAGCAATCAGCAGCGACAGGTCGTTAGATTCAATCCCCAGCACAACACCTAATTCCTTCACGTGGACTCGTGTATGTCCCTGAAGATACTCAGACAGCATTTTGCTTTTAAGATACATCTCCTGCAGTCTGTCCTCAAGATGCATGATGCAATGCACTGTGTGGATAAGATCAGCCACCAGGCACTGCTTCAGCTTCTCATCACTGCTGGTCCCATGAAGCACCAGATCAGGCATGTATGAGGGGCAGTAACCCGCCAGGAGACAGCGGCCAAAGTTTCTTACATTTGGGTTGCTGATGCTTTGAGACCTTGGCAGAGGCAGCTCCACTTCTAAGGTCCCTTCAATCCTGTCACCACTGTGATTTAGATCCAATGTGGCTGAAGCACATGCTTCATCGTCACTGTCTCCAAGAGCGATATCGGAGCTTTCGTTTCTGGGAATGTCTCCTTCAATCCTGAAGTCAGCCTTCCTATCGGCATCCCCACAGGGGACATCTGCAGCAACCAAGAAGCCAGAGACCTGCTGGACACACCTGTCGGGGGCAGGTTCTAATGAAGGTCCTTCCACATCTTTCAAATACAAACCTCTAGTTGTCTCCAGTGTTCTCCTTCCAGTTCCCGCTGCACTGTCAGTGGGAACAGCTTGGCTGAGCTGCCCAGCATCTGCTGCCACGTCAGGTCTGATACCTCTGTCCTCAGCAAAACCTCTGTCAGATTCACCTTCCTCTCCGTCAGAAGATCGATTCTGAGGACAACAGACATTCTTTTGAAAGCCAGGCTTGAAGGAGCACCTAGAAACCTGCTGGCTCTCAGCCACGTCAGCAGCCAAACTGGACTCGGCTGAGATACTGGCCACTTCTGGGTATTGTCCACAGGCCTTCAGCCGCTCCTCCATTTTTTTTGGTGCGGCTTTCAAAGTCAGACTCTGGAGATAGGGAGCTTCCAATTTGGAAAGTGACCTTTTCTACTGGAGAGTTCTCTCGGGAATGTCTGTCAGGACAAGGGCAAGGCCAGGCTTCTTAGTTATCTCCTCTTTCAGCTCCTCGTTGGCAGCTGGCCGGCTGATCTTCTTTTCTGCCCCTGGAATGGCACACCTGGGAAACCTCGAAGGGACATCATATGGTGCCTCTTTTTCACTTCCTTCATCCCCACAAAGGGGATGAGGTTTCCAAGAACTGTCTAATTCTGGCTCTTGGAACCCCATGCTATGAGCCTCAGATCCCTGGTCTGGCCTCTTCTTTCCTTCTTTGTCAGGTCTGGGATCCAGGTCTCTAATGTCAGTGCCCTCTGGAGTCCCAGCTAACCCTGTGGGCCCAGGGCTCCTTCTCTCAATCATTGCTGTTGGTAGGATGGGGGGTACCAGAGCAGGCTCATTTCTCACTGTCACTACCACATACTCGGACTCCTCCACCTCTCCTTTCTCCAAGGCTGTTACAATCTTGCTCCCATTTATAACTTGGTCACCTTCACTGTGATTCCCACTCCAGGTCAGCTGGTTCTCTTGCAGCTCAGAGCAACGGAGAAAGTAGGTCAGGGCATAAAGAATGCGCTGGACCAAATCCTTCTGCTTCCCTACCACCACAGTGCGAGTCAGTCTTACTGGAGAGCCTATAGCTCCATAAAGGTCACCCAGCTGTGCCCAGAGAGGATTGTACGCATGTGTTTTGGCCAGCATGTTCACTGATTGAGAGGTACATTTCTCTGAGAAGGCCTTAATGGGAGGGTGATCAACAGGCATGACAGTTGGTACCCAAGCCAGGTGGTAGGTTAACACTGCAGTCAGTAAGGCAGCAAAAAACTGATTTTTGTTGATTTGTTCTATCAGAAGTGTAAACTCCTTGAGAAAGCGCTGGCAGAGCTGGGTTTTTTCCAAAGTGTTTGACATCATAGTAAGCCATACTGGTTCAGCTATCCTTAGAACAGAATGTAAATTCCAGATAGTCCCTCTGAATTCTCCCAGAGCTTCCATCAGACGGCTGATGTAAAACTGGACACGGAGGCTTGATTCTGCAATCTTTCTACAGGAGATCATGGCCTTTTCAATTGCACCCTTTAGCCTGTTCATGTGAGATTCAGAGAGGGGGAAATGAGAAAAAAAGAAGTCCTGGAAATTCCGTTGCGCTTCTTCTTTCTCACACAGGGAAAAGATGATGCTTATGGCAATTTTCTTCCTCCTAACTATGGCTGGATTAGAACTACAGGTTTCTTCAGCCAAGCTAAATGTCTCATCAGTGGACCTCCTTGGAAAGATGCCATTCTCTAAACTTGTCGTCTGACTTCGAAGCCAACGGCGCTGATAACTGCTGGAAGAAGATGTAGAGGAGCTTGGAGATGGGAAAGGCGTGATCAAAAGGCTGCTTAGTGAGGCTGATCGAGCAATGCCACTGTCCCTGTCTTCATTCTGTCCTCTGCTTGGCATATCAACTGGGGTGCTGTGTGCTGCAAAGAAAGAAGCACTCCGGGTGAGCCGGAGAGGTCCTCCTTCAGCTGCCCCCTGCAGCAGTTTGCTGCTGCATGCTTGCAGCAGACCTAGGTTACTTCCGGCACGACCAGGACCCAAACTATGCTGATTCGTGTTCGGTTTTCCTGCATGAGGATCTTGGTTGATGTACTCAAAGCTGTCTTGCAAGTTATTTGTTCTTCCACAGAAGCTGCCCACTCTAGCAGAGAAAACTTTACTAATCATCAGTTGTGGAGGAGAACGTATATAGTGTATCTTTAAGGTGGAGCCTTTATAACTCATTGCGACTGAGCCAAACATCATTTCCCCTAGCATGTTGACATCGGAAGCTGGTCTTGTGTACTGGTACTTTGAAAGCTGCTCCTTGGTGTGTTGTAAAGATCCTCCAGAAGAACTATGGGAAGAGATGCTGCTGCTGCTGCTGCTGCTGCTGCTACTTCCGCTGCTGCTACTTCCTTGGCAGCACTTGGCTGACGTTTTCACAGGGACATCCTCTGTTTTCTTAGTTGCCATCTCTTCAATCTTTTGAACAGCTTTAGAATCAAACAACACTTGTCTGCCTCTCCTCTCACAGTCCTGGTAAACTATCAGGCGAATGTCACTCAAGTCAAACTCTGAACATGACCAACTAAAGGCGGGTCCTTCCTTGGGAGCCCTGCCCTGGGCGGACGCCGACGCTGTGCTGCCGCCGCTGCCCCTTTTGTTGAAGAGCTTCTGGAGTAGGGTCGGGGCCATGATGCTGCCGCCGCCGCTGCAGCTCCGGCCGCGCGCTCGGGGCCAGCAGCTCAGCGCGCAGCCAGGCGCGGCGGCCGCAGCGGCGGGGCCATAGCGGCGGCGGCGGCGGGGCTGCGGCGGCTAAGGAACTGTGCTCCGCGCCGGGGACGCCGGCGGCCGGTCATATGACTGGGCCGGCCCACCGCCTCGCGCGCTGACAGTTACCTCCTGCGGGAGGAGTCCGCAGCCCCGCCGAGTTTATGTTTTTTGCTTTGAAATATATAAAATTAATATTTTCTTTCTTATTTAATGGTTTTTTTAAAATCCCAACATCTTTTTTTTAATTATTCAGCCTATTCCAGAAATTTACTACAAGTTTACACCTGAATTTAAAGAACTATGGGAAAATTTGACAGTAAGCTTTTCATTTTTCATAAGTCTGAATAGTTGAGGCTCATTTCTGACGTGAGAGTAGTATATAGGATTCAGTGGCATCTCCCAACATCTTATAATATGTTTATACAACTTTACAAATAATAGGTAAGCAAGTCCAAAACACTGAAATGCATCTTTTTTCTCTCCTCTGTTTAATATACTGGCATACATTTGATGAATAATTAAATATTGATTTTTTTTCTTTACACAAGTTCATTTTTTTACAATTGATTAATTTTTAATTGATTATTACATCTGTTATAGGAAAACCCAGCTATCAATTCTTGGCATAGAAGTGACAATAATTGCTTGTCCAAAGGCATTATTTTCAGATTAATATATGTTCTGTTCTGGCACAAGTCCATTTTTTAAAAAAAACAAATAGTATTTCTTAAAATAACACTGAATATTTGCTACAAATTTTCAGGAAAATTTTTAAAGAGATAAATTATTTTAAGGAAATGAATCCAGTCTTATAGGTAATGTCAGCCACTATAAAAAACTGTTCAACCTTTGTGAAATTTTAATTATTCACCATTTGGTAATATCCAGTAACCCAGAACATTTTTTTTTCCTCTCAGAGATTTTTGAACTGAGATCTACAAAAACAGAAATACCATCTATTTTCAGCTATTTAATGTAGTACTGAAAATGTCCATGCTCAGTAGGATATTTCCTTTGTTTTATTTATATAACTCATTTAGTTGTATGGCCTATAAAATGTTTTTAATTTCTAAATATCTATTAAAAATAAATCCGGGCTGGGGTTGTGGCTCAGCGGTAGAACACTCGCTTAGCACGTGTGAGGCCCTGGATTCGTCAGCACCACATAAAAATAAATATACAAAATAAAGGTATTGTGTACAACTAAAAAATAAATATTTAAAAAAATAAAAATAAAAAATAAATCCTACATTGATAATTATCTTAGTCTCAATTTTGATGACAATTTAGCAGTATTCCCTGTCTACAATGTAGCAAAACTGAACTGGTTGCAAAATCAGTTAGCCTTACTTTTTTACTTCTTTCTACTTCAAAGTAATTATGAGGTAGTATTGAGACCATCCCTATTGACCAACTTAAAACATACATCTCAATCTCATTTGTCTGTTATTTCTCCCTCTCACTGAAAAAAAAAAGAAAAAAAATATGTCTCATTCTCAAGTTTCTTTTCTTCCCTGTATACTTCATATTTAGATGGAAATTAATATTAGATAATAAATCCAAGTATGTAGAGAAGAAAAGAAAATTATATTAAAAGATAATGACAACTGAAATAAGCCAGACTTAGAAAGTTCAAGGTAAAATGTTTTCTCTCATAAGTGGAAGCTACAGAGAGGGATGGGAATAAGAAAAAAGGGGTCTCATGAAAATAAAAATACCAATAGAAAAAAGGAAAAGGATCGAGAGAGGGAGGAAGGGAAGGCATGGGGAAGTATTGGGTACAAAATCTAGCAAATTATGTTATGTCTACGTATGAACATTCTATATGAGTCATATATATACTCATATTATTCACTGTTCATACTTATATATATGTTTATACATGAATATAGCATAATGTATGACTATAATGCACTAAAATAATAAAAGCAACAATAGAAAGGAGATCTATAGAGTACAACAAGCAGATTGGGAGGTAGGAAGGGAGAGAAAAGGAAGGTACTAGGGAATCAAATTGATCATAGATCATAGATCAAATTATGTCATGTGCACATATGAATATAGCATAATAATACTATGCATAATGCACTAATAAAATATTTTAGAGGGGGTTGGGGTTGTGGCTCAGTGGTAGCGCTCTTGTCTGGCATGTGTGAGGCACTGGGTTTGACCTTCAACACTGCATATAAATAAATAAAATAAAGGTCTATTGACAACTAAAAAAATATGTAATTAGAGTTTTGATTTAGATCAGTCCAAAATGGGCTGGGAATATAGGTCAGTTGGGAGAGTGCTTGCCTTGCATGTACAGGCCCTGAGTTCAACCCCCAGCAAAACAAAAAATAAAATAAAAACAACATAAAAAACAGATCAGTCCAATACTGATCATTGATTTATGTTATGATTTTATATGAGTCATTTATCTTTTCATATTGTTTTCCTACCCTAAAATAGAAATCACCTCTTCCTCTATGTTATGTTGGTATAACATTTAGAGATTATCAGAAAGAAAATGATATAGGAGGGGCTGGGGTTGTGGCTCAGTGGTAGAATGCTCACTTAGCAGGCATGAGGCACTGGGTTCGATCCTCAGCACCACATAAACGTAAAATAAAGATATTGTGTCTACTTAAAACCTAAAAAATAAATATTTTTTTAAAAAAGAAAAAGAAAATGACATAGGAGAATTGAGCAGTAAGGTGGGTTACTTGAAGTATAATCATTGAGATGGAGACAAAACTTAACACTAGAACTGTCAAAAAATAAAGCCAAAGGAGTGGGTTTACGCCCATGCCTAGGATAGTGACTGGCATACAGTAAGTGCTTAATTACCCAAAAGATGTCTTTCATAATTCTATGCTCCAAATAAAAAGGAAAGTGCAACTATATGCTACTATAAACAAATTCTCATGCTTATGTGTTTATAATACAGTGCATTTCATCAAATACTGCCCAAGAAAATTAAATTGGAATGAGGCCAAGGTATATCATTAAATATAGGTGTGAAAAATTAAAAATAAGGTTTTGAAAAGTAGCATCTAACAATGAAATTTGTGGCTCTCCATATTTGTTTTCCAAATGATAGTTCTCATTTTACTTATTGATCAATAAGATTTACTATCCAGATTTTAAACAAACATTAACATTTTTTAAAAAGTGAAGAGTCCCAGATACATTTTTATAATACAAAAGAAGGAGATGATCCAGAAAGAGATTATAATATAAAAGAATAAGTTGATACTTGTTTAAGAGCACAAGAAACAAAATAAGTAGAAGACCTGGAAAATGAGAACAGGACAGAATTTATTAGAATAATAGTTGTCTAATATCCATGCTAATAGAGAAATGGGCTTGCCCCACCCCCCACTATAGTTATACATGTTAATAGGGAGAAAAGTTTACTACTTGGTTCTTTGAACTTCTTCAAAGAACAAATTCAATTGAGACAAAAACTAGAGTGTATATTCAGCATTTAAATACATTTTGTTCTAACTATTGCTTTTAAAGGGCTATCTTAGAATAACTAGATTTAGGCCTGGCATGGTAGCACATGCCTGTAATCCCAGAAACTTGGGAGGCTGAGGCAGGAGGATCACAAGTTCAAAGCCAGCTTCAGCAATTCAGTGAGACCCTAAGCAAGTTAGCGAGACCCTGTCTCAAAATAAAAAATGAAAAGGACTGGTGATATGGCTCACTGTTTAAGTGTCTCTGGGATCAATCTCCTCTGGTACCCATGCCCAAATTACTAGACTTATCCTTACACATTTATTTTTCATTCAGTATCTCTCCAGAGTCTATTCATTCCTATAAGTAAAATCACTACACATAGCAAAATTAAAATGGAGAATGGATTAGTAAAATGATCTTAAAGAGCAGGCCTATGAATTGTAATTAGTACACTCAGCTATTGTGAATTGATCTGCTATAAAAAACATTGATGTGACTGCATTACTGTAGTATGCTGATTTTAAGTCCTTTGAGTATAGACCGAGGAGAGGGATAGCTGAGTCAAATGGTTGTTCCGTTCCAGGTTTTCTGCGGAATCTCCATACTGCTTTCCAGAGTGGTTGCACCAATTTGCAGTTCCACCAACAATGTATGAGTGTGCCTTCTCCCCCACATCCTCACCAACACTTATTGTTGTTTATATTCTTGTTAACTGCATTCTGACTGGCATGAGATGAAATCTTAAGAGTAGTTTTGATTTGCATTTCTCTAATTACTAGAGATGTTGAACATTTTTTCATATATTTGTTGATTGATTGTAGATGGACATTATTACCCTATTTGACTGCACATATGGAGTGATACTACATCATGTACAATCAGAAAAATTAAAAGTTGTGCTGCATTTGTGTATGATGAATCAAAATGCATTTTGCTGTCATATATACCTAATTAAGATATATAAAATTTTAAAAATAGATCTTAATCTTCAAGGCAGAAAAGAAGGCAAAACAGTTACCCAGGTAATTCAAGATCACAACACTGGAATTTTTCTAGAAATGTATACTCTCCTCCTTTCTCATACAGTTCTCAGATCTCATGGAAATCTGGTTCCTCCCACTCCCTGGCTCCATTCTTCACTGTTCTCTCCATAGTCACCAAGTGCATCATACCATTGCTTCTTCTCATTCCATATTAACGTGTAACTTTTTTGAAGCACTGGAAATTATGCTCTCACACTCACTTTTTTCCTCTTTCTACCTGCCATAACACTATTTTGTTTCATTGTTGTCTTAGCAGTATAGAGTATCAAATCAAAAGCCTCATGCATGCAAGTCTGCTACCACTGAGCTACAATTTCAGTCCCAAAACACTAAGGCGATTTTCACCTACCCCTACATACCTAACTCAATCTCTCCTTTTTTCTACTTGTTCTTCCCTTTAAATGTTAGTCTCCCCCAGGATTTTCTTCAGTTCTTTGCTCTTTTCAATGCTCTCTCCTTGGA